GTGACTTGTCAGAAATTAGGGGGGGTGGGAATTTTGAATTTGGGTGTGGAAATGGGGTGACCCATTCAAGCAATGGGAATGAAATTTCTTTACCCTCCCCTTGGGCCTAGCATAAAATACCATAGCCCTCCCCTCTTGTGTAAATGAGATATGATATATCTAGTTCTTGCAATATCTGTATTATAGTTTTAAATACAGCTTTTAATTAAAAAATTACTATTAACTTGAAACATTTTCATTGTAAAATATGCTCTTTTTACTGTTATATACATGGACATTTAATTTGATGCATGTTAATTTATTTTAAATAATACTTCACAGTTTATACATCCAATATGCTTCGTTGTTGTTGTGGTTATTTGAACCAAATATAGCCCTAATTTTTCTTATCTGTTTATACTGTGAACCAACAATGTATGAGCTCAAGCATAAATTTGAAGCAGCCCATTTTTTCTTGACCCTCCTTTTTTTAGAGTCTTAAAAAGTTGACCCTCCCCAAATTTCCGACCCCCTCCCCCCTGCTAATTTCTGACAAGTCGCTTAAATTATTATTATGTAGTGTTTAAAAAACGAGTAGGAGTGTTTTATCAGGTATAAAAGCACGAGGCGTAGCCGAGTGCTTTCATACCTGATAAAACACAATCTACGAGTTTTTTGAACTGCTTAAAACACTCATGAACAATTTATAAGATATTATTTTTATCTTTATTAAGACCATACATGTCTCGAACATGGATTTTTATACTTCGATAGAGATTTGACGTCACAGGCATGCGCAACCAGATTCAATAGAAGCTCCCACACGTTGGATATTGCATGCCAAGGCAAAGACAGGCACGTTAGTCAAAGATCTTTAGGGTTGACTATGACCTTGATGAAGCTCTATATGTCTTCATCTAAACTTGGATGCATACTTCATCCCTGATGAAGTCATCCTCATAGTATTCGAGTGGTCTTTATATAAAGATCACATGTGTCTTTATATAAAGACACGTGTCTTTATATAAAATCACTTGAATACTAATGAAGAGGACTTTATCGGGTATAAAGGTTCATGCACGTGACATGTATGGTGGCTCCAATAGACCAGTTTCGAGTTCCAAATTACCGCTGTGTTCCATGATAACATACTCATTTACTTAGGGTTAGCCTCGAATCAGTGTCTAGATATTCACAAATACCAACGGTAAAGTAAAGAATGCACAACTTCAACAATACAAACACTTTGAAATTCCACGTACCTTCAATGGAACACATGAATATTCTACACAAAATCGAGGCTAACCCTGAGCAACAGAGAACTCGAAACTGGAGTATTGGACAATAAGCTTATAAATTATTAATGAGTGTTTTAATATTATATAAAATTTAATTAGAAAACTAGTTGTAAAAGACAAAGTTTCTTTAAAATCTGAAGTACCTTTATTAAGTATTATATAAAAATTCAGGAAATTCAGGATTTAAGAAAATTATTATTTCTGCTTTGGTGATTTTGCTTTCACTCATGACCAGTGAATATCATCTCGTAGTCACTGGTTGTTTGCCAATCACAGTGTGCCAAACTTTAACTATCCAAGTTATAACAAATTGCCAATCCTCCACACTTAGGGCAGATTAGTAGAGGTAAAAGAGACATGTTTTCTCTGTTGAGCCCCCTCCTTCAAATAACCAATAGTCTGACTGGCAAAAAAATTAAATAAGGCCCCAGCCACTAATAAGCCCCCACCCCTAAGGGTAACATTGCTGAATATTGTAGTCCTTTTCCCTTGGCAGGACTCGGAAAGTAATTTTGCCTGTTGAGATTATGAATAAAAGTCATGAATTTCCAAAGTTCAGGAATATTTATTAAGCCCCCAGCCTCTCTGATAAGCCCCCACCCCTAAAAGTAACATTGTTTAAGCCTCCAGCCTCTAACTTGTTAAAGTGCACATGAACCCTTCGACAATACTTTCAGTACTGATTCTACA